ATAAGATGAACTGATGTTGCATCTTTTGGATTCAGTTCAAAGGCTCTCTAATGCAGGAGGAAAATAAAATTTATTATTAAAAAAAAGTGTTTCTTGACACACTTGGCTTAAAATACAACAACAACAAAAAACATGCTGACTTGCTGCCCTACTATTAATTAAACCACAATAACCCTTGTGTAGAATTTCAAAGATACAGTGTTTGCTCTGTGCATAACTGAATCCACTCATCTCCAAAACCTCTAGACACTGACAGACTTCTGAGCAATTATGTTTAGCAGGTCAGTCTCACATAAGACTCGACATACTGAGATTTTGATCTTATTTCTCATGGAACAAAAGTCAGCAGACCTTCATCTTTTCCAGCCGTTGACTTTCACTGGTACCTAATGCAGTTACAGTGATGGCCACACACTTTTCTCAATAGCACAGCTAGACTTAATATAGGCATAAGAGATGTCAGCAGCACTTCAGTTGTCTCAACACTCTCTTCCACAGGGACTTGTTAATGCAGGAGCTAAGTTGTATCTCTCGTTGATTTGGAGCCCAAAACCAGCACAATAACCCTCAAATGAAATTGACACCAGGAGATTTCAATTTGCAAATTTTCACCAAAAGATAATTCCTAACTCACACACAATCTATGTATTAGACACATTAAGGCAGTCACTTAAATTACCTCAAAGTGGTCCTTGATAACAAAGGCATTCCCAATTTTAACCTTGATTCCTTCATAATCTCCAACATCACTGAGACAAATCGCATACCACTGTAATTCAAAGTATAAAATTAAAATATTTAATAAAGAAGTATACCTACTAACATTAAAAACAAATAAACAAAATAAAACAAAAACAGGACAGCTACCACCACCACCCAGCAAGCATTTGTAATGAACAGTTTTAGCAGTGCCAAGCAACCTGCTAGCCTGAATGGATAATGGAATCAACGTCCTCTTCTTATCCAAGATGCCAACACCGTTGATCATACTTTGTTACCTCCTTAACCAAGAGAAGCAGCCCAAAACAATGGCAGAATAAAGCCAGACCTGAAGTCTTTCCAACAAAACTCTACAGAATTACTGGTACACACATACAGCATGCTGGAGGGGTGGTGTGTGAAACATTTCTCAGGTTATGTCAGAGGTGACCAACTGTAAATGATATGATCCCGTACACATTGAACCATTTCCTGCATCCTGTTTGAACTCTAATCTCAGAAACATATCAACAAGAAATTAAAAGTAAGTGAGAATTATAGTGAGAATCACTCATTTTTAACTGAAAAGTTAAATTACGCACAAGGTTGCCGAAACAGAACAATGACATTACTTGAGTTTTCCACTGGCAGAAATCAAAGAACAAGATTTCAGTTACGTTATTTTGTTTGGCTTACCTTGTGTGCTGCAGAATTTGCTTCATTTTTTTCTAGTGCCCTTTTTGCATACTCAAGGGAATCATATGCCAGTTGTCTTTTCTCTTCTGCAGAAGTAATGCTGAGCTGAGCTAAATCTCGTGACGCTCGTGCCAGCCGCCATAACAACTCTGCATCCTCACTAGTTGTGAACAGAAACATCAACACTTAGAAGTAATAAAAGCAACAAAGCAGGCAAAGGTCTCGAATCAGTCTTTCAATATGTATCTCGAGAGGGTGATACAACCCTCTCTCATCTGGCATTTGGGCAGCACGGAACTTAAAGGTAACAAACAACAGATAGAAGCCTGTCATTATATACTGCCTGCGGATATAACTACGTAAGTTAGGAGCTTTTTCATTCAGACTCAAATCCTAACAGGGGACAAATGAAAACTAAAAGGAGCAGCTGGTCAGCAACGAACATGAAATGAAACAATGACTCCCAAAAGTTTTCAATACCTAAATTCTAGGTACTCTAGTCATTGCATTAGTCATTACACATTGTGTGTACACGCATTTTGACTTTTTCTAGTATATTTTAAGGCATTTTCTAAGTAACAAAACAAGCAAAGAAAAAAAAAAAATCTCCCTGCAAGAATGAAAAACCACAGTGATAACCCTCAGTTTCAACTGCATTCAGCTAACAATCAGACAGAATGATTACAGCTGGAAAAGACCTCTACCAACCATCCAGCTACCACCAATACTGCCCACTAAGCCATGCCCCTATGTACCACATCCACGCAGTTCTTAAACACCTTCAGGGACTGTGACTCCACCACCTCCTATGGCAGCCCATTTCAATACCTCACCACTCTTTCTAAGAAATTTTCCCTGATAGCCAGACTGAACCTCCCCTAACACAACTTGAATTTTCTCTCATCTTATCACTAAGTCCTTTCTTCATTCACTTTTCTACCAGGATGGAAAAAATCAAGAATGCTTTCCTACTTAAAAAGAAGTTGAAAACAAGGCTCTCCAGCACACCATACCAAGAATATTAGTTGGAATCTGGTACAGAAAAACACATTAAAAAAAAGAAGTCAAAGTAAAATGAAGATATTCAGTGCAGTCAAGTACCTATTTTTATGCTGAACCAGCAACCGATAGAGCTTTTCAGTTTCTCCACTCCCATACAGGTAGTCTGCTTGCTCTATAACTTCTGCCGCTTAAGAACAGATGAAAATTGTGGAAACAGAAGAACAAATTACACATAATTAGGATATTAAGGCATAAACAAAATGTTTTAGAGCAAGACAATTTAACAGAAACACAAAGAACAAGTTATGAATTTTTTAGGCCATCGTACACGACTGCATGGCAGACTCAGATAAGCTACTTACAGTGAACAACTAGGCAGAGATACAGCGCCAAATGTATGGAACTAGAAAATGGCTTTCAGTAACATAAAGAACTTAATGGATTTAATACTTAATAGCATTTTTCTTAATGCATCAGACAGCAGAATTTACTATCTTTTCTTAGTGAAAATGGCAGGAAATTAAAAAAAAAAAAAGAAAAAAAAAAA